ATATTATGTTATTTCTAATAAATCCTAAGATTATAGCAATTCCCAAGCAAATTCGCGTCAGGAAATGTCAAAAATCCAAATCCTACTCCTGGGGAATGGAAAATCTGAAAAATTTCTGAGACATGACCTCAAGCCTCCTGCACTGAACTATATAACATGGAAGTCTGACTCGAGCTCAAAAAGTGAAGCCAACATGGCGGAATTTGAAGGCATTCTTGCGCGTCATTCTCAGTCCCCTTACGTGCGCGGTCAACAAAACTTTTATATTTTTCTTTACTTTCCGAGTAAAAATCTGGTGAAAAACAGACGAAATTTGAATGAAAAGTTGAATTCTGGTATTTTGTTTGGGTTCGGTTATAAATTTTAATTATTATCTGTTTAGGAGATGTGATATTTGAGTGGAAAGAAAGCAAAATAGCGCGGGATTGCTGTTTTTGTAAAATGACAAGGAGTGACAAAACAAAACACAAAGTCACTCAATTTTTCAAAATATCTCTATTGCCCCTATCGACAAGAGTTTCACATACATGAATAACTCATTAAAATGAACAGTTTAAGTTTATAAGGCAAACATCAAAGTGATTTTATTAAATAGAAAATAAAAAAACAAAATTTTCTAACATGTATGGAATTAAATTGGCTAAAAACTGCCTCGAAAACTGCAGTTAAAAAGCAGTTTTAGGTCAGGAAAACCGACTAAAATAAGCTAAATAATGGTGTGAAAACTGAAAAGCACCATAGAAACAAGAAAACGAAACAACCAAAGCAAAAATAAATTGCCAATTTATAAAAATACAGATTTTATATAAAAAAAACAAAAAAGTTTGAAATTAGTTGTTGAATTCGCAACGAAAAATACAGATTTACTCACACATACAGTGGGAAAATGCAGTAGACAGATTGAGTAGATGAAGGAAATCAGGTTTACATGAAATAAATAAAGTTTATTTCCTTTTTTGCTCTTCTAAAATGAAGAAAAACACAACCCGAGAGTCGCGGACCCATCACTTCCCGCCATGAAAATACAAAAATTGTTTGGCCGCGCGGGTAAGGGGACTGAGGGTGACGCGCAAGAATGGCTTCAAAATCCGCCATCTTTGGCTTCACTTTTTGATTACGTCAATGACTGAAGTCAGCCTTCCATGTATATAGTTCACTGGTTTATTTACCTGAGATTGATGTCTGAGATGGATTATCCCAGAGCCTTC